CACTCTCCATTCCACAACTGCGAGGCTACGTGCCCTAGAAAGTTAGGGATCACAGTGTCATCCATGGGCCCACCGTCCACTGGACCTCTAACGATCCACTCTGCCTCACGACCAGTCCTAGATCGTTTGCTAGTGCCTACATTAGAATAGAACATAATGTCACTAAAACAGGGCTAAGAAATGTTTTGATATAAAGTGCGCGAAAAAAGGAACTAAAACAAGTACAAACGAGCAAAAAAAAGCAGAGTCTGTTAAACTCACGACTTGCGACTTCATCTCGCGAGTCGCGACATTATCTCACGAGTCGCGACTTCCGGCTCGTGAGCTTGACAAAGCCGAAACAGCCAGAATCTCGCGACTCGCGACCTCGACTCGCGACTGCACTCGCGACGCGCGAGATGAGGTCGCGAGTCACGAGATTCTGACACTTTTGGCTCTGTGAAAACGCGACTCGCGACTTCATATCACGCCTCGCGACATTGTCTCGCGAGTCGTGACATTCTGTTCGCGACTCGCGAGTTTAACAGAGCCGAAATATGTGAAGTCGCAACTCGCGACTTTATCTCGTGAGTCGCGACTGTACCAATAACTTGTTATAATTAAGTCGAAATATTTAATAACAAACAACAATAAATACGTAAATTATTTACCTGATGATCCAGTGCTAGCAAAACGCCCCCCAGCCTGTCGTGGAGGAGCAGAATGAATAGGCCGTGAACGAGTCGCAGGCTGCACAGGAACCGTAGCCTGTGCAGGAATATCATCATCGCCCTCATCATATGATGATGCCGACTCGTCATAATCCGCAGCCATCTGGGCTACCGATTCATCAACATATTATCCCTACTGACCGTCCGGTGCTGGTACTGGTGCAGGGGGTATCGAGCTGCCTGACTGGCCAGCAAAAACATATCTATGCTGACTGACATCGTACAGTGGTGGTGCACCATATCCCTGCTGACCAACTGGTACTGGTGGTGTACCATATCCCCTCTGACTAGCTGGTAGAGGTGTCTGGAGTCTCGAACTGCCTGCCTGGCCAGTCTGTATCCTCTGAGCCTTTTGGATAATGAGTTCTCGATCCCGACGAGCGGACGCAGTTACATCCCGTTGCTTCGGGTGTCGGGGTGCAGAATCGTCAATATACTCATCGAACTCGTCGTCGTTCCTATCAGATTATTCAGGCCTAGCAATACCCTAGCAATATTTAAAATTTTGTAAATATTTTTTTTAAATTAAATTTTTAAAGTCAAATTAAATTGATTTATTTACTTTTAATAACCTCTTAAGTTAATATTAATAACTTATTAAGCAATTTCAAATTTAATAAATATTGTAATAACTATTATAATAGTAATTAACTAATTTATAATGTTCACTAATTTTTTTTTGATATAATTAATATTATTATACTTTTTATAATTTTTTTTATTAATATAATATTTGTTCTTTTAGATTATAATTATTATTATAATTATTTAGTAATAATAAATTTTTAGTAATATTTTTTCTTATATAGTATTAATAAAAATAATATAATTATATTAATTTTTTTAGCATAATTATAATAATTTTTTATTACTACTATAATTGTATTAATTATATTTTATAATTTTTTATTATAGTTTTATATTAATTTTTATTTAACATAATTATAATTTTTTTATATATATTTTTTATTTTAATTTTTTATTAATATATTATTATAAAATAAATTACTGTCCGGCC